TAGTAGCGGACCAACTCGTGTAGTATCTACATTAGCTTATTGTTAGCTTAATTGCTCGTATTTTAACGATCACAATCCCTATTCGATGTTTATTGGGATGTGTTGCCAAGAGGAAGGTACTTCCTACTCCGATGTAATGCAGAGCTTGAATATATGGCCCTACCCTAGGACAAATATTATTATTGCGTAGTGTATTTTATTGTTGTAAACTGAATAAAAAATATAACCACATAACCTGATAACCAGACAAGTGTGAACAACCTAAATGTTTAAAATTACTCACTTAATTTTCCGTGGTCAACGAATAAGAAAAAAGTTTATGTCAAAGAATTGTTCAGTGATTGCAAATCAGTTTTTGAATAGGGAATGAAGTAGTTTAGTATGGTTTCAAAGGCGGTAAAATGTAGTTTTCGCAAGAGGGAAACATCGATTTAGGTAAGGAAGCCAAGATGGCGGATACGAGCGAGAACGCTGTCAATATCCAACACCATCTATTTATTCCACCATGCCAAATTAGCATTGAAAATGCACAAAGTCTACCAAAATATTAAAATGGAAATTTTACTTTGTTACCGACACTGGTAAGTGGGTATGTCGATAATGGCGATACCGGCGATACCGGATGTGAATGAAGCTAAACAATTGCCGCCATCGATTCGCCAACAGTTAGCGAGTGGCGGAACGAACGAATTCAATTCAAACCAAACTCGCTATCGTCTATCCGCGCCAGAGAACGTTTAATATTAGAGGTCAATGAAGGTATAAGAGGTTAATTGAAAATACATACATATGTCTGGAAATGAAAACAAAATTCCAGTAACTGCGAGCATGAATTCAGAGGTTTTATTTAATCTTTTATGAATTGGTTTTGCGTACGGATTTTCTACAAACTTATGATGTCGAAACAGTGTTTGAAATTGCTAAATGGTAGTGATAATGTCGTCGCTCCCAACGAAGAGTAGCACATCTCAAATTACCGTGGAAGACTAGCATGTTTCACTATTCGCGTCGAAGACTAGCACATTTCATTATTCGCGTCGAAAAGTAGCACATTTCAGATTCTCGCGTGGAAGACTAGCACATTTCACTAATCGCGTGGAAGACTAGCACATTTCAGATTTTTGCGTGGAAGACTAGCAC